GATGCAGGTTGTATAGAAGTTGACATATGTACAATAAATTAAAGACATACAAACATATTGAAGGTTTATTGTTCTACTTTACTCACATAAACGCGGTAATAGCTATTCGGGTCAATTTTAATGATAATAATTGTAAAACATAAAACTAGATATCACAATTGTGAAAAAGAAACAAAATGTAGCATACTTTAATGTTATTTAAATAAACAATGTTATGAAGATAGTTGTAGCAAATCTGTTCGTCCTTCGGGACAGGCCAAGGCGCCTAATTAGTTGTACTGCCAGATTTTGAATTTTAATTTTTATTCAATCATTTAATTTTCTGACATTTTTTCGCAGGAAATCGTTTTCTCGTCTATGGATTTTTTTCCATCCTTTAGATATGGCGCATATTAAAATCAATTCAAGAGAAAAGACTAACGTCAAAATAAATATACAAATGTCAAAAATTAAGAGCTCTCATGCCGAAAAAGTTTTGACGTTGGCTCCGCCCAAATTTGTGAAACAAATATATGCCTGAAGTTCGCGTGACTTGCGACAGGAGATATAGAATTTTGCTCATTAAAAGTACCAAATTCGTTTTAGCGGAATAACTCTAAAACTAAAGGGATTTAAAAAAATCCGTAGTGACAGTTATCGATCATGCATAAATATAATTAATTATCTAATTTTTGTCCTAATAACCTGTAGCATTTCGAGGATAAATGTGAAAATTAGAGGTCATTTCGTGATTCTTAACTATCGAGGAAACTTTATTGTTTTATATTTCTGATTAATGTCTATGCTTGAATATATCGTGTAGTTACTTACATAATATTTTATTTTTAACTTTAAACAATGATATTAGGGATTTGTCATTTAAAATTCGAATACGAATATATTAATATGTCTCAACTCCTAACACTCTATTAACACATAATAAAGGAACTTTTGCCATGCGTATATCTGAACATCTTTAAAAGGAACGTAAATAATTCACGCCTGTACATTTTGCCGTCAACAAACCTTGGAAAGCCAGGAATATTAAGTTGAATGGTTTTATACCAAATGTCATTAGTTGAGGACATTAAATCGTATAATCCTCGTTTATAGAGCTGTAGAAAAGCTCCAAAAAAATATTGTTATTAGCAACCAAAGTCAAGTTTAGAGCGGTTACACACAGCGACCTTTAACAGCGATTTATAGGCGGTGCCTTCGATGAAAACGCGCGGTTGCACCGATGCTGTCGCTTATGTTAAATCATTAAAAACGTGCATCGCGTTTGCAACGCGATTGTATCGCTACTTAAGTCGCACGCATGTGTACGGTAAACAATTAGCAACTGCATCGCTACCGTATTGCAAATTGAATCGCTGCAGACGCGCTGCTAAAAGTCGCGTGTGTAACCGCTCTTAGATTTACTAATAACAATTTTGTCGGCGGTCACCCTATTTAGAAATATATGATAACCTACCAAGACTAATCGCGCAGTAATAGTTCTGATGTTATTTTACGGTTATTGTACTATAGAAAAGATCGTTAAAACACTGCTATTAAAATTTTATCGCATCCCAGTCGGTGCGGCGTTTTTAGTAATTTTGATTTATAAATATACAATTTTTAAAAGATGAATATTATGACTGCATTATATTTTATCAATCGGTGAAACAGTCAAAACAGAGTGCTGTTTCCATCCATGTCTGACTTCAGATATACGCTTAATTAGGGCGATTTACTGCGTTAATAAAACTGTTATAAATTATTTATCTTTTACTTCGGGGTTCGTTAGAAAATAATACCGTTAATATGTTTCCAGTATAATTTGAATAGCTTTATTAATAATAGAAATTTCCTGTAAGATGGCGGTTTTGTTTTCGCGGTTTAGATCTCTCTAAAACCTAAATCGCCTAAGACCCAACAAACTAAAATGAGAAAAGCGCTAAACGTACATTAAAATATACTAATGACAATAACATGCTTCATGCCCAAGCAGGTATGCCCTTGGTTTTGTATGGAAATGGCATTTTTCTAGATACCCCAAGGTCATCTAAAATTTGAATGCGATGTTTTCATTATAATGTACGTACACTGGGCGCGTACGTGAACATGAAATATAATTGTATATATTACATTGTTTGATTCTGAATCATTACACATATTATGTACACGGGGCCTTAGGTTATTTTCCCTCTGTATTACTCAGAAAACTTACGATACTGTTAAAATTTTCTGTGCTTAACTTGTAAGTGGGGGATTAGTAGAATGAGAACTTATTACTTCTAGTAAGAGAAAGCATCATCGGAGCGGTTTGTACAGTCAGTAACTTTAGTAACTGACAGTAAAGCTCCTTGTGAAAGAGTTCGTCTAGGGAAATACTGCCACCTTGCCTATTTCTACCGCCAAACAGTACTGTGAGCATTATTGCATTTCGATTTTGAAGGGTTAAGGGTTCAACGATTTTTTTTTCATTCCATCACTTGGTACCATAACAAAAATGCCAAATGTATGTAATTTAGTTAAGTTCAGACCTGACACCTTCCTTAGAGAATATCATGAAACTCATATATATACCTAAATACAAAGTCGGCATTGTCTACCTTGATTATTTTATGTAGCCTGATTTTAGAGTAGTGTAAAAGGAACAAAACTACATCATCGAGTACCAAAACAACAACATAATTTGACAGTTCTAATAATCTAATTTCTAAAAAACAAAATATGGTCGACTGTCCTTAGCCCGGGGGATTTTCTAGGCGGCCACTTCAAAGTGACAGATTTCGACACAAAGTTAACAATAATTGGCATACTTCCCAACACGAAGGAATCAACATACACGCTTATACCGTTGTATACGGAGTGGCCGCGTAATTAACAAAAAAATTTAGACGTGTGAACATTAGTTACGTGGAACAGAAAAAGTGGGTAGGGTAATTTTCAGACTAGGTTTCAGTATCTAATTTCGGTGGAAATTTTTGTTATTTATATATATTCGAGTATATTGTCGTAAAATATTAAATAATTTTTATGTTACTACACTAAACGAATATTATATCTAATACTTTATGATAATATTGTAGAATATTTAAATAATAAAAATTGCCACCAGGTGGTTGAAATCAGGTGGAGAAAACTAACTTGTTCGTCCCGTCACTTGCTATTATAAAAAAAAAGTTACATGGTACCCCTTTCAAACTTAAAGGGGATATTTGCGCTTTTACAAGCTATAGCCTTGGGTAATTTAGTAGCTATTGCAATAACGGCATTAGAAAACATTCGAAATCCTCTTGAATTAAAGGAGATAACATAAACTCCGAAGTCATTTTGCATAGGATTTCAACTAAGTGGGCTAAAAAGGAGGTTTTGAGGACTATTATGATTTAAATTTTTTGGAACGTTATGCTATAAGTACTTCAGGATTCTATTGTATATTTTTGTAATCGATATACGATCGAAATAGTACTCTAATATTATGCTATATCGATGTAGAGTAACATCGATATAGCACACGTCGATGTAGAGCTATAGTGTCCTGTCGATGGTGGCGTATCGTCGTTTTAACAAACTTTCGCTGTGATGATCAATCGATGTAACATTTTCATGTTGCTACTTTCGATATTGTAAATCAGAACCCGTAAAAGAGACCCTTATGAAGTCTGCGTCAACAGACGGTTGCCACACTCCGCTCTAGCAGATGCACCAATCGGCCTAATGTTTTCTAAATACCGTAATTTACGTCATCATCAAATTCATAAACGATAAAAAAGTAGATAATGAAATTTATCAAATTACGGGGATTGCCTGCACTAAGACACTCGTAACGTTAGATATGACTTGTGTTCTATATGATAATGATTATGACTTGAGCTGATAATCATAATAGTATAATTTATTTAGCAAGGCCTAATTACAAAATAGCTAACTAAAATTAAACAAAGTGTAAAATATTAGGCTGTAGAATTAACACTAAGGTAAATGACCATTCAATAAGCCGCTACGGGCGGGCGCTAGTAATATCCCATATGCGTACGTAAGTATAAAGAAATTCACACATTCGAATGTTTATTTTGGGAACTCTAATATATAGACAGTCTTGTGACATTTAGCAACCGTATCACATACACTTTAACATTTCGTGCCGCGTTCGAAAGTTTTTACCCTACACCATTAAAAAAAATGAAAAAAAATTCAAATAAAAATATTTGCGTGACATATTTATTCTCCTGACAAAAAGAGGCTTTTACATGGTATGTGTATTTATCTAAAAGTTATTTGAACTTAAAGACGTTTACTTGTAAATTCATTCAACAATCGTAATAGGCAATTTATTGATAGCAAACGTACACTCTAACCTCGGCAACGCTAGACCACTTACTGGATACAATTCAATATGACGCACACGCCCTTACATCATAAATATGATGATGTACAAGTCACATTATTTTGTCGCTGCAACACAAAATAAAAAATACTCGAAAAATACTTTTAAAATACTTATTTCAAAATTTATCTCTGACTTAATTTGCCGTATACCCACTCTCATTTCCCAAATTATTTTTAGTAGGTAACTGCTTGCACTCGTACATCAAATTCTTAGTGCTTTTGTTCTGATATTATTTGATCCTATTAAAGAGCCAGGCTCTTGTCGGTGTAACATCCTCCACTCATCACGGATGAACAGTGAACTCTTTACAACGATATCATGTGGCAGTAGCCTTCAGAGTACCTACATAGTTTATAAATTTGTGTACCAATTAAATAGTTTCTGGTTTTGATAAATCAAAAACTTGATGGATTGGCTTGGTACACATAATATTAAAAATGATACTGAAATTGTACAACACCGAATTCAGAATGTGGAAAAATTAAATGTAATCAATGCTTTTCTCCATTTGATAACTCGTAATTGCGTTAAGACTGGCTACTCCCAATACCGTTATACTATTTTACCGAAATCGACTATTTACAATTAAAAACGAACTTAAAAAATATAAATTCGAACGAATGAAGGAAATATCACTCACCCTTTCCCTGGGGACCATGGCAGCTGTGAGTGCACATAAGGCAAGGACAATCAGTAACCGCTTCATTTTCACAGTATTATTTTCTATATTTTATCACGTAAAGAGTAAACTTGATAAGTCGCAATAAGTTGCAAAAAAGCGTCAAGAAGTGCGCGCAGTGAAGGAGAGCGATTGAATGACACGGGGCGGGCGGCGCGCCTATATAAGTAGCCTGCGGGGCCCCGCGCCGGGTACGCCAGCCCGCACCGCTGATTCCAGCGCCTTCACACCACAGGCTACACCACTAACCACTCTCATCGTTTTCGTAATAAGCTCTCCACGCGGTCATATCACAACTTGCGGGGTCCTCTGTACTAGGTTTTCTTTTACTACGTGATACGAGTGAATTTATCACTTATTGTAGCCGTTGATATGAATGGGCGAGCCTAGTAAGAGATAACGCAATGCGCACACGGTCATCAACATGTTTATAATCGGTGCACGAGCGCGGTGATCCCTTTGAAATTAAATGATTACAGATTCCCGCATGCCGATTACACAACTAAATAAATAGACGAATTGCGTTATTATTTTACGCTGTAAAATTGCGACGCATTTTCTACGCCTGTGAAACGACCATAGTAAACAAGCGGTTGTGAATATTTTACATCGAGACGCTCTGAATTTTATAAGCGCACAGCAGCTGTGATTTTGTGTTACGTACCTTTTTTTAGTGAATAATGCTTTACAACGGGAAATCCCACGAGGAAAAGAATTAATCTTCTTGATCTGAATTACCTGAATTGTATTACGTATCTACTTTAGGTAATTATAAATTAACTTTATTACAAATAAGAATAAGTTTGTAATCAATAATAATACTCGAAGTACAAACGTAAATCATCACACGCCTTGGTGTCGTACGTGGTATAATTGGCGTTACAACGAAAATGATATCAAAGATATAAAATTTTGTTTTGGTTCTGTACAATGTGAGATTTTATTAGTCCATCATGTTTACTCAATGTTTATAACAAAAAAAGGAGTTTAAGGTTTTTGTAGACGTAAATAGTATGACCTAATATAAGTACACTTAGGTAAAATAACAGGGCGACGATCTTATGTGATGTCTTCAGCAATTAAGGTGATTACGTGAGATGTGTTATTACTTTATTAGAGGCGATGCCCGTGTCGTGCCCGGAGGCACGTCGTCGTCTGCCCGCCCCCGCCATGACAGCGCACGCTACGGAATTGCATCACGCGCCTGCACCGGCGCTACATCCCGCCAAAATGCCAAGCCAACTATAGTCTGCGACTATAAAGACAATTTATTATGTATTATACCTAAGTAGGTACTTATACATACAACGACAAAAAGAGGGTCTCAATCAAAATCACACCAAAATTTATCAAGCAATAGAGCAAGTAGGATAAGTCCCGCTTGTTCAGCGCGTAAATGCCTATGCTTCGTTCGGAGACTAGGGTTGTTACAGTATTATTTTAATTGTACCTACTGGTTGTAAAGATATCCAAAAATTAAGTTGTTGATCACATTCTCGTGCTCTATACAAATAATGTTTGTGTAATGCATTAGGTATTTGCGTGCCTATTGATATTTTTTTATTCCAGCATCGCATCGCGAAATGGTATCTTGATTTTGGAGTGTGATTATAAAATAGGAATGAAATTCTGAGCAATTCTGAATTTGAGGCACTCTTGTTCAAATTGCCACAAACAACAAGAAACACGTCTACTATTTGATGTAATTTTTTAAACACCGAGCGACCGCTTCATTTCTATGATTAATGGCGCGTGAGACGCGAAGTACAGTCAAGATCACATCAAGCTTGACACTTTGTACTTTGGACCGTTCTTATCATAAGCGCCATAGAGTTGGATTTAAGTCTTAAGCGTAAAGCTTGACGTACTCTTGACCCTGTACCACTGCGCCCGTCAGGGTGCTCCCCTTCAAAACTGGAACGCAGCAATGCTGACATTACTGCTTGGTGGCAAAACTAGTTCTGCCGCCAAGTTCTCTAGACGACCTCTTCAATTATTGTATTCATATAATGTCATATTTGTGACAGTTTACATAACGCGATTACTTCAACTCAGTTCTTGTTTTCTGGAAAATCGTCCCACAAGAATGTGAGAATTTTCGCTAATTGAAGATTTTCATCCAAAAAAATATTTTTATAGCTCTCTGATTTTCAGTGCCCAGATATACTAGACAATATACAAGATATACTAGGTATGTATACAAAGATAAAGTTAACAAAAAAGAGCAATTATGCCAGCCGAAACGGGGGTGCCGCAGCCGCGCGATGCCCCGAGAGGCGTCCCAACGGCAGCACCTTTGAGGAATTTTTATAGTGGATGTTTTCCACTCGGACCGGCCAATTACGGCAAGCCCCCTCACTGGTCCCAGTCGGTGAGTTGACTCTTTTAGAGACTTATTATATTATTGTCCACAACAACTTTTCTTCGACGAGAGATTTTCCAACTACTGATCCACGTATTGAATGAACTTTCAAAAGATGTTTTGTCAAGTTTTCAATGAAGAGAAAAAAGTTCGTGTCATTTTTCATTCTCCTCATAGGTATTGTATGGTCATCAACAACAATTCAATTAATAAATTGCACACCAAAAATAATGAATCTTCAAAAGCTATACCTACTTAGAAAAAAGTTGTTCTTACCCATGAGTAAAATAAGACTGCACATTATTGTTGCTCGTTTTTGTTACTACTCTGTTGTCGACATCATCATCATCATCAACTCATTTTATATCTCCCTCTCCTGAGCACGGATCTCCAGTTTAGGCTATAGTCCGCCACGTTGACCCAATGCGGGTAGGGGACTTCACACGTTTTCCGAAGGTTGTGACCCTTCTTCGACGTGCAGGTTTCATCACGATGTTTTTGTTCATCGCAAAGCTCATGGTAAATTTCAAATTAAATTTTGCACATAAATTGCGAAACACGAAGGTGCGAGCCCGAATTCAAACCCACAGCCTCCGCTTGAGAAGTGGTGGAAATAGTACTACTCTATACACGTAACTACTAGATGTGTTATTGGAACGAATAATAATGACAACTGCCTCGGTGGCCGAGCGGTTACCATGTACCGATCTGCCACGCAGAAGTCCTGGATTCGATTTCCGGGCCGGGAGATTTTGTATAGGCCACAGTTATTTCTCTCGTGAGTGTGGGTGTAATTTGTGGTTGTCTATGTGTGCCTCCATGCTGCCGTCTACTAACTAAAACGCGGCTGAAAAATAAGAGATCAAATATTTGTTTTAAAAGCATAAGATAGAGCTCAGAATTCTCTTTTAAAAAAGATGAAGTTAGTTAACGTGTCCGGTATATCTATAGGAACTTACCCTAATGACACATAGCCAATTTTCTAAAACTGGCTCATGGTTTTTTTATGATATCTCAAAAAATGCTTTTTTTCCCATGACTGCGTTTTAGTTCGTATAGGTACCTGGTGCGGTGCTTAACAAAAATTGTATTGAAAATATCAAAGTCAACAATCCACAAAAGTTATTGACCATTTGAAAACAATTTTATTAAAGTACATTCGGTAATAGATACTTATTAGCTATCTCCCTCCTTATCAGCACTACTTGATAGTAACTTTTCCGTTGCGTTGTTCGTTATAGGGTCAACGTGTCAAATTTTACGAGCTGCGTGATTCTAAATGCCAAAATGTTTACATGGTAATGGTGATAAATGAATCACCAACAAACAATGGAAAGCCAATTTGTATACCTACTAAATTTTTACTACATTTAGTGGCGACCTTGTGAAAAAGCTCATTTTTCTCGTGCACGTTTTTGGCGAGTCTATATTACAAAACTTTTCACTGTTATGAGTTTTAGATTTTACTATGAAACTTTGGAAGTGCGTCGAGAATATTTCATGTATAAACATACAATCATGGTTATAGTAGCAATACAGCTCCTTGTGAAAGACTTCGCCCGGAGAAGTACTACCACCTTACCTATTTCTGCCGCCAAGCGGTAATGGGAGCGTTACTGCGCTCCGGTTTTAAAGTGTCAGGGTGCTGGTAAAATTACAGGCACGTTGTCACGAACAGTTGAACATAGGTACGGTTGCATAGCGACGTTTTCATAATTGACCATCTTTTTGAAGTACTTTTGTGTTCAGATATATTGCCTCTTATACGTTTTGCCGTCCAGTAACTAAAACGAGGATTGATTATAATGGTCAAATATCCGTTTTAAACAGAAAAAGATAGAGCACAAAAGTCTCTTTTAAAAACAGTTAAAATTAATCGGAACTTACCCTAACGATGCATAGCTGAAATATCAAGAAAGTAGTTAGCGGACAGCAGCGTTATACGCATGAACCTTTCGATTTTACCTATGTCTCAGGGTGACGGTCGCAGTGGCAGTGTCCTTCAGATCTTTGCGAATTAAAGTTCTGAGTGTCATTGGAACTGCTATTATGATAGGCGTGTCGCTGCAAATCCCGTCGCGGAGTATCATAAAAAAAACAGAAGTCTTCGTTTAGAAAAAAACCTTTTGTAATTTTTTTTAAGGCAGCCCATTGCGGGTTAAAGTAACGTGTAGGAGAAGGTTTAAACCTCCTATACGCAAGTTTTGTCAAGTCGTAAATTACGTGGCAATTAGTAAACTAAAACTGCACGTGATTTGAAAATACCTCAGCATCGCAGGCCCCTCAGTGGGAATGAAACCCAGATTTTCGAAATCATAGACGCGTTTAAGAACAAACACACATTAGGGTGATGCCATCCCAATGTACGTGATTATTAATTAAATTCATCGATAAGAATAATGCACACAATCAACATAACTCCGCACTAGGGAAACCCTGTGTCGCGGGTGCCATGAGCACACACAAAATTACACCCAAACTCACGATAGAAATAAATGTAGACCATACAAATATTTCTCCCAGCCCGGGATCAATTCCCGGGATCTGGGACCTCTGTGTGGCAGTCCGGCATGGTAATCGTTCGGCCACGGAGGCAGTTGGATCATAATTATCATGGACTGACGACCTCGGTGGCCTAACGGTTCAAATTGTGGGCACTGGAGGTCCAGGTACGATTCCCGGTATGACTAATTTGGAAAATAAACTTTTCTTTTCTTTTGGT